GAAATCCCTTCTCACATGACACAGATATTAATAATAATATAAAATATTAACTGTTTCCACACCTGGTGCTCACAGTGTTTGCAGACCATGTTGCTGGTCAGCCTTCCATGGAAAGGGTGCTGAGATTTCCAGTTGTTGGACACAGGGGGAAGAGATCCTGCAACACAAAAACTGTCCTTGGATTTTCCCATCCACACACTTTCATCACTCCAATCCCAAGCTTTTGCCCTGCAGTAACAAAATTAATGCCTCCAAAGCACATTTTTGTCCCAGTGATTTATAATTAATGGAGGGTTATTTATATTTTTGACTTCTAATTCAGTTTATTACAATTAAAATTATAATAAACAAAACTATCCTATGAATATTCAGAATATCCAGAAGGGATAAAATCCTACCTCTTGTCCTGCAGCTTATTTGCTTTTGGGTTATTTCTGGTTGCTACAGAGGGAGATAAAAACATTTCATTAACCCTGCCTCAGCAACATAGAAAAGATTTAGAAATTTAATAGATGAAGTATTAAATGTGTTCCTATTTCATCCCTAATTGGCTTTTCTGGCATTAGAAAAATTGTGGGAATCTCAGTGATATATTTGAAGATATAAATTTGAAGAACAAAAAAAAACCTAGTATAAAATAAATCTGTAATTGACAATTACTCGTAAAAGGAATCATTAACCTGCAGAACTCTCTGCTTCAGAACACTAAAATAGGAGATTTTGTCTTTTTTTTTTTTGTCTGCATTTTAGGCAAAACCAGATATTTTAAATCTGCATCAGTGTTTCAGCAAGAGAGAATAACTGGAGAATAAGATCAATTTTACCTCCATCAAACTCTTCCAGAAATGCCCTTTTTGCAGTTTTCAACCCTTTTTCAGGTGGGAACTAGAGATCAGAGTAACTGCCTGGAGGGACTGATTTAAATCCCTACATGCCATGGATTTAGGGTGCAAAACCCCTCAGGAAAGCAGGAACACTGAAAATTCAAAGCTATTTTCTTTGTAAAACCCGAGAATTCTTTTCATTCGACTTATTGATGAGTTCCTATCAAAGGATTAAAGAACAGCTTTGAGAACAGAATCAAAATATCCTAAACAGACACTTTCTGCTTGGGAATGTGGGCAGATTCCAGGAATTTCTGCTCAGGAAATGAAGAGGGATCACCTCCAGGGAATGCACATCAAACAGATGGGTCACACGGGGCTGCCGATCCCGTTCGTCCTCCAGGGAAGAGGTCAGGACATGGAACAGCTCATGGGCGTCCTAAAAATGGAGTCAGAACCAAGAGACATCAAAAAAACATTCCAGGAGGGCTGGAATTTCACAGGAAATTAAGGAAAAATTACAGCTCAGAGCCCGGATTTATATTTATATTTATAAATGTAAGTACACAATAAATATAATATACAATAAAGCATATCAATCACTATATTAAATATATTTATTGTAATAATATTTGTGTTAATACTGAATATATTTTGTTGTGCCCAAAAGCCTCCTAACAGCACAAGGCACTGAAGACATCCTGGGCCATATAAACTCACAAGGAACTAAAACACTTGGGAGTAAAAAATACTCCCAAATCCCTGTTTTCCTCAATTTCGAGGGAAGCATAATTGAAATCTATCCTTGGAAATCAGGAATATAGTTTAGGAGTGGGAATAATTGATGGAGTGCATTGGAAATACTAAAAAGAATTGGAAATCATTAGGATTACTGAAAAGACTGGAAATCTGGAGTCCATCCCTGGGAGCAGAGCACAGATCCATTATCCATAGGGAAATCAGGGCTGGATCTGCTCAGGTTTAATATTCCTGGCCCTGTTGGTGATGACAAGGTTTGGAAGCAGCCAGGAATTCCCTGAGGAATATCCCAGCACACTGAAAGCCCCATTCCCAACCTGTGGATGTTTTCCACCACTTTTTGGAAGCAGGATTCAGATCTGACAGCTCCAGCTCTGGGGGATCCCAGTCCAAGGGAGAACAGCAGGGATTTTCCCAAATTCCTGCGCTCTCACCTGCTCCTCAAAGGAGGAGATCTGCCACCTGTTCATCCTCAGCACCTCCAGCAGGCAGCTGGCATCCAGGACATCGTCCTCTGTCACCTCCTGGCAGGATAAAGCTGGAGAAGGGAATGCAGGATTGTCAGGAGGACTCAAAAATGGGTAAAAATCCAACAGGGCTAAAGCACCACCGGCCTCACACCACAGGAACATCCCAAGGCAGAACTTCCAAGGGATTTCCTTTAAAAACAACCCTGTGAGGGAAGCTAGGGGATCACTTGAGGGGGTCAGAGATTAATTTAGCCCAGAAATTAATCACCTTGAGCTTTAAATCTTTAATAATTTTACCCAAAACCTTGCAAAGTGTGGTTGAACAGTCCTAGGTTTTCAGGAAAATAGTAAGCTTGGGAAAACAAACAAAATAAAAAACAAAACCAAACAAACAAAAGCTGAAATTATTTGCTAATAATTTTTTTATAGAATTCTAAATTTCTTGAATTTGATGGAATTCAACCCTTCTGTGAAAAGTGGCTGAGCTTTGGCCAAGGGGTTGGAAATTACAGAGGGAAATAAAATAGGGAATAGAAACAACACGAGCTTCTTTCTTTGGGAGAAGAGGCTGAAAATGACAACATTTCTCCTCCAGTATTTTATCCCTGGTTTGCCACAACAGGAAAATGTCTCAGTACCTCTCAGGAGCTGCAGCAAAGTCACTGACAGGTGTTGATGATGTTCCTGGGATTTCTCCTGCTCTGTCCTGTACTGTGCTGTGAACTCCTCCAGCCACCTGATGAAGGAGGGGCAAGAGGACAAGCCCTGGAGCAGGGAATTCATGAAACAAGTGTTGCCCAGGTTCAGGAGGCCCGGGACAAGCCCTGCAAAGAGAATTGCAAGAGTTTACACCACGAAATCCAGGGAAAACATCCTGTTTTCAATAGGAATGCTGTGTAATTACAGGGGAAAAAAAAAATAAGAAGTTCTTTAGTATAAGCGGGGATCAGTTTGCAGTTTTTGGTATTTCAGTTGATTTTTGGGCTTTCACAGAATCCCAGAATGGTTTGGAAGGGATCTTGGAGATCATCCCTGCCATGGGCAGGGAACACCTTCCACTATCCCAGGCTGCTCCAAGCCCCGTCCAGCCTGGCCTTGGACACTTCCAGGCATGGGGCAACCCGTGCCAGAGCCTCCCACCCTCCCAGTGAAGAATTCCTTCCGAAAATCCCACCCCACCCTGCCCGCTGGCAGTGGGAAATACCAATAGCTGCTCTCGCAGCGTTGAGGCCAGCTGGAAAAACGGGACAAAGCACATGCCGGGGTTGGAAAAACGGGACAAAGCACATGCCGGGGTCGTTCCCGGTGCTGGCAGCCCCAAGCCCTCCGGTACCTCTCCGGCGCCGTTTCCTGCCGGTGATGGGGCCCCACAGGACGTAAATGCCGGCCGCCAGCGCCGCCGCCGCGCCCCCCAGCACCCCCCAGCTCCTCATGGCTCGGTGCCTGCGACGGGAGAAGCGGGAACAGGGTCAGGAGCTGCGGCAAGCGGGAGAGCCCGCGGGGGCCCGGCCTGCCCCGGGGAACGGGAGCGCAAAGGGAAAGGGGAAAAGGGAAGGGGGGTGTGGGGAACGGAGCGGGGAAAAGGCGAGGGGAAAAGGGCAGGGAAGAAGGGAAGAAGGAAAGGGAAAGGGAGAAGGGAAAGGGAGAAAGGAAGGGAAGGTGGGAAAGGAAGGGGGAAAGGGAAATGAAGAAAGTGAGGGGACAAGGGAAAGGAAGAAAGGAAGCGCTCGGCCGAGGGTTCGTCCCCGACCAACGCGAGCCCCCCGCCCTCCCTCCCCTCAGACCCGGCCCCCTCCCGGCTTATCCCGAGCCTCTTCCCGCTCCACCCCGACCCTTTCCCGTGACAGCCGAGCCCTCCCCTCGGACCTGGCCCCCTCCCCCGCCCGCAGCAGCCGCCGCACCGGCCCGTCCGCCAGCATGGCCGCGCCGGAACGCGGGCGCTCGGGCGGGAGGCGCCGGGGGGACGGCAGGAGCGAGCGGACCGGCCGGGCGGTGGTGCCGGAAGTGGTGCGGGGGGGCCGGTTATGGCGGGGACCGGCCTTGGCGGCGGGCGGTACCGGGGCGGAACCGGGGGCGGTACCGGGGGCGGTACCGGGGGCGGGCCCGTAGCGGTGTGAGCGGCCTGTAGCAGGGGTAATGCGCCTGTTCCGGCTGTGACACCGGCTGTGGTGGGAATCCCCGGGGGTCGCGGACCGGTCCCGGTGTGCCGGGCCGAATCCCCGCGCTGCCCGACCCTCACAGCCCGCCCGAGGCCGTGGCGCTGAAAACCAGTGGCACATTCCAGTCCCGGCCGCTGCAGTGGCGGTTTAGCTGGGATACTGAGGATACTGAGGATATTGAGGGCAAATCCTCCTGTAAAAGTTGTCCAGCCCTGGCAGCGCTGCCCGGGGCAGGGGCGGGTCCCGGCCCGGCCGTTCCCGGTCCCGGTGGCTGTGACGCTCGGGGACACGGGCCTGGTGGCCTCGGCCGGGCTCGGGGGATTTTCCCGGCTCAGCCACTCCCCGGCCCGAGCCAAACCCGCGGGGCAGGAGCGGCTGCGGCCCCGCTCGGGGCAATGGGGGAAGCGCGGCTGAGCCTGGCCCTGCTGAGCCGAGCTCAGCCGAGCCAAACCCCACTGAGCTGAACTAAGCCAGTCCGGGTGGGCTGATCCGAGCCGAGCTGAGCCCGGCTGAGCTAAACCCAGCCGTGCTGAGCTGAGCCAAGCCGAGCCCGGCTGAGCCAAACCATGCTGGGCTGAGCTGTGCCAAAGGAGCCGAGCCGAGCCAGGCTGAGCCCAGCCCAGCCGAGCCGAGCCAGGCTGAGCCCAGCCGAGCCGAGCGGGTGCGCACGGGCCGGCGGTTCCTGCGGAGCTGTCCAGCCTCTCCAGCCCTTCCAGCCTCTCCAGCCCTTCCAGCCCTTCCAGCCCTCCCAGCCGCTCCATCCCGCATCCCGAGCCCGCATCCCGAGCCCGCCATGCGGGAGCGATGAGCGCAGCCGCCGCCCGGCCATGGAGGAGGATTTGTTCCAGCTGAAGCAGCTGCCGTGAGTAGCTCCGGGGGGGCTCCAGCCCCTCCGGCCGCGGGAATCCCGGCGGGGACCAGGGAATTCTGCCGGGAAGCGGCTCAGGCCCCGGGAAGCAAGGCCATTTTCCCGCTGGAGCTTCCCGGGTGCAGCATCCCGAGGGATGCAGGAGCCGTTTGTTACATAAATTCATCTCGTTTGTTTTTTTCTTTCTTTTTTTTTTTTATTTATTTTTTTTTCCCCCCCCTTCTCGGCGTGGGTGCTAAAAAATCAGCAGGGGTTGGGATAAAATCCTGGGAGCGCCAGGAGATTTTGGGATCGCCTTTGCGGGGGGGTTTATCTGTAAATAACGGTGTGCTGGGGAGGTTTTTCCTCGCCATCCTCCTCCCTGCCAGGGAGGAATCGCAGAGCAGAACCTGCCCTGCCAAGGTGGGTTTGGGGGGGGACCATCGGCATTCCCAGCGTTTCTGGAAAGCCAAACGCTGCTGCTCAAGGAAAATGCTGATTTTTGCCGGGATCGCTCTGCCTTTGGGATGTGGTTGCTGGATCTGTGCGGAAAAAAAAAAAACAAACCAGCCCCAAACCCGATAAAATATTTGGTGCCTTTAACCCCAGGAATTCCTTCTTTTTTTTCCCTCAATTCCGAATGCTTCCTTTAAAACCAGCCTCGTTTTTCCTAATGCTCCATTCTCAGGTGTTTTGCAACATATTCCTATTTATAAATCATGGGCTCTGCAAGGCAGGGAACGAATGTTTCAAGTTGGTTTTAAATATTCATGAGCTCGTGTCAATGACAGAGCACCCTGTCCCATAACATTCCTGATAAGTTGGGAAAACAGACATGAACTCCAGCTCTTTTCCAACCCTCAGTTAGGATGCCTTCAGCTTGTCAGGGAAAATAATCAGGGGTTATTTTATCAAGAATTTCCCCCCATCTTTAAGAACAAAACCTGGGAATACATTCCAAAGTCCCTTCCAGTGCAGGTGTTTTGGTGCTGTGAGATTTTGCAAATAAATGCAGCAGCTCCCTGAGATGTCCCAGATGTGAAAAATTTGGCAAGTATGGAACAGAAATTATCCCTGTGGAGTTTTTTTCCTCAGTTTGTATCAGTTTGTTTCACATATCCCTAAATTATACACCTATATTTTTATTTTCTGTGCTGAGGAATGTGGCAATCCCTGCCTGGACTTGTGATTCTCAGATTTTGTAGGAACCATCACCTCCAAAGCTGGAATGATCTTTAAGGCCCCTCCCTGTGATTCTGTGATTATTTAATCTCTTTCCCAAACTATTTCACTTAAATCCAAGGGATTTTCACTTTCCAAGGGGGAAAAGCTCTGCTGTGCTGCAGATAAAGTTTGGGGGATCTGTTCCCAAATCTTTGGCCACAGAAAACTTCATAGATGGGAGAAGAATCTTCTCTGTGGGAAGGGAGCAAATCCCTCTGACCAAAACATCAAAGCTGTGTCAATTTAGCAAATTCTGGTCTTCCATTATAATATCCACAGATATTCCATTAATGACAAGATATTAAATAACTCTGTTTCAGATGAAAGCAGAGTCACAGAATCATCATCCTGATGGAAAAAAATCCATCCATTCCCTGAATGAGCTCAGTAATTGTATTTCACTAAATAATATAAAACATTGAATATATTAATATATTAAATATAATTATATTAATGTATTACTATAATATATTAATTAATTAATATAAATATATTGTGTATATTAAATATAGAAAATATAAATAATATTTCCAATTCTGGTACATTTCAGGAGCTTCACTTCTAATCACAAAAACAACTCAGAAAATGGAATTTGAGCGCTTCCTGCCAGGACAAAACCCCCAAAATTCAGTGACACAGCAATGCCTAATTCCAATGAAATCCATGCACACAAAACATGGATCTCATTAAATATGCATCATTCCATCATATTTTTATGACCTCTGTGGTTTTATAACTTTGTGGATAGCACAACAACAGCCCCTGTGTCCAAATCCCATCCCAGTGTTGGATACCTGAAATAGGTATATATATGTTTGGATACCACATCCAAACACAAATCCCAGCATTCCCAGTGGGGAATGGAGACAGAGAATGAGGAAAACCCTTGATGAAACAGCGCTTCAAGACTCAGCGAGCCCAGCTGCCAGCTCCTGGAGGGATCCATCCCGTTTTCTCTGGTTCCAGGGTGGTGAAGTTCCGCCGCACGGGGGAGAGCTCGAGGTCGGAGGAGGATGGAATTTCGGGAGAGCACGAGGTGCAGATCGAGGGGGTGAGGACAGAGCTGGAGCCCGTGGAGCTGGGGGATGGAGCTGCAGTGCCCAAGGAATTCGCCAACCCCACGGATGGTGAGCAGGACTCTTGTTTTCCTGCGAGGAGAAGGTTGTGGAGAAAGGTGGGATCTCTTCATCCCTGTCGGGCTGGGTACAGGGGGTTTGGAGAAGTTAAGGATCCCCAGGTAACAAGAATAATTCAGTTAGACCTGAAAATCGTGGTTTGATCGGGCCATTCCCCGTGGGATGCTCCCTGTGCTCCTTGTCGTGTCCCCAGTGCTGGATACTCCTGTTGGGGAGTTGTGGATCCAGCTGCCACCCCCTGTTCCACACTGGAATTTCCCTCTGGAGCTGCTCAGAGCTCCTGGAGCAGCTACACCTGGCTCTTCTTCAAGGCTGAGATGAATCTGCAGAGTTCCTGGCTCCTCTTTTCCTAGAGGACAACAGGAATGTCCATCTCAGTTCCCGCCTGGAGACATCACTGCTTTAGGAGGGATGAGAAATATTGGGCTGGTCTTAGCACAGTGTGGAAATTTGTTATTAATCTTGTTTCTGAACATCTCTGCTGTGCTTTACCCTTTGGATTTTGTTTGATTTCCTCCTGGTTTGTGGTGTTGTGGAGATGTCACAGCTCTGAGCCAAAGCTTTTTCTGAGGAATGTCCTTCTCAAACTGATGCAAGTGTTAGAACTGTGAGACTTAAATTGATTTAAACAACTCAGATATCAAAATGTGCTTTTCTTGGTCGTTTCATTTTGCATTTGAGGAATTTGAGACATCTCAGCACCTTCAGCTGGAACAAAATAAAGAGGTCATGGCAGTGGGTGGGAAACAACCAGCAGCATTTTTAACAGAAGCAGGATTTAAGATCTGTGTGTTTTGGAGAAATTATTGATTTAAATAATGAGAGGTTGCACTGAAATATTCCCTGCACCTCCCAGCACTGCTGTGGGCTGGGGCAGAGCTGTTTCTCCCCACAGAAAGCTGCATTTCAGTGGCTGGAGGAGCCCCTGCCAGGAGGAAGAGGCTGAACATGGGCTGGATTTGTGGGTGCCACACTGATTTACCTCCACATGATTAAAACATTCCAGGAATAATTAGAATTATTTTGGCTTTGGAGGAACACCGAGATTTTCCCGAGTAGGAATTGTGTAATAACTAAGTAGCTCTGTTAATATTTGAGATTTCAGCAGATTAACCAATTAATTAGTAATTAAAGCAGAAAATTCTCTCTCAAGGAAGAATTCCACTGGAATTGTTTTCTTTGCAGATACTTTCATGGTGGAAGATGCGGTGGAAGCCATTGGATTTGGGAAGTTCCAGTGGAAGCTCTCTGTCATTACTGGATTGGCCTGGGCAAGTAATTGGGATCAGGATCAGTTCATGATCGTCACTTGGAGAATCTCAGGGATTTCAAATAATGGGGGCACAGAGTCTCCAAGCAGATAAATGTACAATAAAGCAGGAGTTTCACTGGAAATTCTAAAATAACAGCAGCACTTGGCCTTGTTGTGAGGGGTAATGATGGATTTCTTTGTTTCTGAAGTTCTTATAAATCAGGGTCTGGAAAATTTTGATTCTCCACTTCAATTTGGTTTCAATGAAAGAGTCTCCAGGCTACTCCTGCAGAACCTGAGGTTTCCTGCTGTGATTTTGCCACATTCCTCCATCAGCTGCCATCTCAGTAGTCAGGATTGCTGTAATCTCAGTTTCAGAGGAACAGCAAACCAGCACTTCCACTTTTAACCTTGATATCAATAACAAAAAAGTCTTGTTTTTCCATTTTCCCTGCTCTTTCTGAAGCTCTGTGTCCCACCTCCTGTGGTGTATTTTAGAATCCTGATACCTGGAGCTGTATTTACTGGCTTTTATCCATATAAAAAGCTGGAATCTGCCATGGTTTATATCCTAAACCAGCTGGTTTCTAAATCCACCTGGTTTCCAGGTGATCTATGCAAACCCAGGGGTGTTTAAGGGAATAAGTTACAAGATATTAAACAGTCCTGACTGAATCCTTGTGTGAAGGGGCTGAAAGCTGGAATTTGCACTGCAGAAGTGACTGAACCTGTGGCACTGACCAACCAAACCTCCTCAAAATGTTTGGATTTAGCTCTTTGAATCCCCTCTGCCAGAGTTACTAAATGTGCTGACAATCAGAAATGAGTTTAAATGTTAAATGTTAAATATTTTGCTCCATCACAAGGTGGGAACAGCAGGGAAATGTCACCAAGGCCTATCATTGACTCCTGAATCCACCTAAATCGCAGGCAGTTGTTAATTTTGCTTTCTCTTCCCCCCTGCAGATGGCAGATGCCATGGAAATGATGATTTTAAGTATCCTTGCTCCTCAGCTGCACTGTGAGTGGCGCTTACCCAGCTGGCAGGTTGCATTGCTCACCTCGGTAGGAAAAATACCTGACAGCTCCTGTCTTCCCTGAGGTTTTGTCATCATTGCTATCCTGACATTTTGCTTTCTATCCCTAAAATTAAATCTCCTCGTGGCCTTTGCAGATTGCCTTCAGCTTGGAAGTTTGTAGGAGTTTTTTTTTAAAGAAATATTTATAGGAGTATTTTTTAAGATTTAAATAATGAAATTCAGTGAGAACTGAGGATATTTTGCAGGTTTCAGGCTTGAAGATTCATATAATTTACAGGAAAACCTATGAATTCACTCAGATTCATCCTAAAATGCAAACCATTTGATAAATTAAAAAAAAAAAAAAAGGTAAATTTTGATTATCTTGCTTGCAAATCTTTCTCTCTCCCCACATTTAAGCTCTCTGACAGACTGAGAACCCTGAGAGAGAACAGTTGATTTTTGAGGTTGGACTCTGATATCAGAGGTCTTTTCCAGCCTAAATAATTCTGGGGTTATCCAGTGATCTTTCATAGCAGAGATCTTACAACATCACCTCCAAGGATGGTGCTGTGATGTTGGAATCCTGCAATGCCTTTGGGGATAAGAAAACGAGTTTGGGAACCCTTCTCTCAGCACAGGCCACTGCTTAATGCAGGGACTTTATTCCCTGAATTCCTCTCTCCTTTAGTTTTTAATGCCCTTTAATGGTTAGGATGCTCAGCAGATTGAAATGGTGTCCTTGAATCCCATGAATGTCCCATGAATGCAGAGGTCACCTCTGAAAAGGTTTCAGGTTGTTTTCTTTCACACTTCAGACTTTTCTAAACTTTTAAGGTGTAATTTTATCTCCATTCAAACCTGGGAGCTGCTGAGGTGGTGGGAAAGCTCTGTCCTGCAGATCTCAACCAACAGCTCCTCAGCTTTTATTCAGGAATATTTTCCTTGGAAATGAAGAGCTCTGTGTCTTCCAGGGCTGGACTCAGAATGGGACAATACCAGTGTGCCCAGTCCAGGGCAGATTGGGATTGTCTGGGTTGTCACTGGTGGATTTTTTACATGCAAAACTGACTTGAGGAGGGACCTTGTTGCTTCCCTGCTCCAACCCAGAGAGAACTGGATGATCTTTAAGGTCCTTTCCAACCCAAAGAATTCTCTGACCTCCTGCACATCTCACTCTGTTTTGGGTTGAAATGTTCTGGTTTCGCTGGAAGTTTGTGTTGTGTCTGTCACACTGGGATTTTCACTTGTTAAGGGAAAGATTTTTTTTCCTGTTGTTCCACAGGTGGTGTTTGTGGGAATGATGTCCAGCTCCACGCTCTGGGGAAACATTTCAGACCAGTATGGGAGGAAAACAGTAAGTCTGCAGCTCCTGCTGGGATATATCCCAACATTTCTGCAGCCTGGACATTTCAGTGCAACTGGCACAGGGTGCCCAGAGAAGCTGTGGCTGCCCCTGGATCCCTGGAAGTGTCCAAGGCCAGGTTGGAGCACCCTGGGATAGTGGAAGGTGTCCCTGCCCATGGCAAGGGGTGGAATGGGATGAGCTTTAAGGTCCCCTCCAACCCAAACCATTCCAGGATTTCAGGTTCCCAAATGTCCACGTGTACAAAGCAGCATTAAACACATCCAGAATTGAGCTCTGATGAAGTAGAAGGCATTTGAAGCTGTGTTTTGCACTTTAATTTGTGTTACCGTGATTTTTTTAACTCCTGCTGAACACAGGGCCTAAAGATCAGCGTGTTGTGGACACTCTACTATGGGATCCTCAGTGGATTTGCTCCCATTTACAGCTGGATCCTGGTGCTGAGGGGCCTGGTGGGCTTTGGGATTGGAGGAGTGCCTCAGTCGTAAGTAAATATTCACAAGTCCAAACTTCCTGATTTCTCTTTCTTTCTTACAAAATTCTCGTGTCAGACTGAAGTCTTGTTTCTGTCCAGCCACTCCAAACCTTGGTCTTGTTGCAAAGCAGGCCATGCCCTAAACACCAGCATTTAGAGGCAGAGCTGAGCCCTGACTCTGTAGAAACCCAGATTATTGTTCAGCCAGAGCCTGAACTCCCCCACCTTCCCCTGGGCTGGAATTTCAAACCCACACAGCCCAGAGCTGGAGCACTGGGGATGCTGGGATGGCTCAGAAGGAAAAGGAAGTGCCAGGATATTTCTCTATCATTGTGTGCTTCCTTTCACTGGAGAGAGGGATCCATCAATTTTCCACCTGCAATAAATAAACTTGCTCTAGGCTTTTCATTATAAATGTAAAGGGAAGGGTACAGCCATTTTCTCTCTCTGTAGTCTTTTATCCTTACCAATAATTGATATTTTTGCCTTCTGGAGGTGCTGCTTTGGAGCAGGAGCCTGCCTTGGATTGATGGCTCACAGATTCCTTCCCAAGGCAAGGCAGTAGCTTTTCCATGGCCACTCCCAGATAAAAAATCCAGAACTGCAGGTGCAGCCCAGCCAGGGCCACTGGGCTTGGCTCACTGAGGTTCTGTGGCTTCATGAGTGAAAAACCAGAGCCAGCTGCAGATCTCCAAGTGGATCCCATCCTTCCTGAGTCTGTTTCCTGTTCTAACTGTATCAGGGATTTATTTGACAGAGGGGTAAACATGGATGAAACAGGAAAAGTAGTTCCTTTCTAATATCCTTTAGCTGTGTGATTTTGGAGGTGAGTGCCTGGATCTCCATGGAATGAGTGTAATTTCCTCCTCTGGATTGGTTCCAACAATTCCATGTCCTTCTTTTGCTGGGGTCATTCACCAGCTCCTGTTTTCTCTGTGCTACAGAGGGACCTGAGCTACACTTTAACATATGATTTGAGTTCCCTAAACCTCTTCTTGAATTAAATATAATAAACTTTATACTTTCCATGAACTGGGCAGCTCCTCAGAGATCAATCCACTCTTTTAGTTAGTAGGAATTTTGTCCCAAACCTCAAAGGAAGCCTGAGGAGCTTGGAGGCAAGGACAGATTGAGTCCATGGAATGCAAACAGAACAAAGCCAAACCTTACCAGTTTGAAGGAGATGACAGAGCCTGGACTGGCTGCTGCCTGAATTCTTCCTCAGGAATTCCTCCTGGAGAAGCTTTGCCATCACTGCTTGGCACAGGCATGAAACAAAGCCTCAGTGGTTGCTCTTTGAATCCCACAATAAAAGAATGCAAATTATTTTATACCAGAGACATGAAAATATTCCCCTCTTGGGGAATTGAACCCTGGCACAGGACACGGGTGGGAATTCTCTGAGCCAGTTGGAAAGCCCTGAAGAAATTCTTTATCCAGCAAGAGTTGGTGTTGAATTCTGATGGACCTCACTGAAAATACCAGATAAAATGGTATTTTCAATGGTGCTCTGGCTCAGAGCAGGGCTATGAAAACAGGAGCATCAAGATCTGAATTTAACTGACTGTGGGGTCGCAAAACCACACAAAAAGAGTAAATTGTGTCCTCTCTTGCAATGCTGAAGGCTTTGTTCTGTGGTGGAAGGGGAGTGTGACCCAGTGTCACAGCCTGGCTGGCTCTGGGAATGGGGAGAGCTTTGAGTTGCTGCTCTGGGTTTGGAATTTTTATTAAAAGGCAAAAGGGATGTTTGAACCTCTGTCTGCTGTGCCAGTTCCATCTCTGTGCTGACATTTTCCTCTGTTCCCTCTTTCAGGGTAACTTTATATGCTGAGTTCCTTCCAATGAAAGCCAGAGCAAAATGCATTTTATTGATAGAGGTGAGTGGGTGCATTCTGATCCTTGAAGGACAAATCCTCTGGTGGTCACATCCCTTCCATCCTCCTGCCTGGAAATCCCCTCAGAGCTGCAGCCTGGTGTGGAGCTGAGTCCCTCCTGAGCTCTGGTACCAGCCCAGCTCCAAAATCAGCAGAAAGTTTTCCTGTCACACTCCATTCTTCGTGTTGAATTTGCCTTTTTTCAAATTATTTTGCACCCAGGGCTGCAGAGTGAGCACAAGAGGGGCATTGGGTGTCCATGATTTTGTGATGGATTTGGAGAGGTGATAGCTCCACAAATTCAGTGCTAAATTCAGCTCCACATCTTCATCCAAACATGGCAAAGTCACAGAGGGCAGAATTTTGTCCTTGGAATATTTTAAGGCAGAATTTACACCCCTGGAATTTCTCTCTCCAGCCATCCCTGGTGAGCACGGCCTGGAATGTTCCAAAGAGCTTGGGATCACTCCATTCCTCATTTTTTTTTCTGTTGGTTTTCTCTCTTCCAGGTGTTCTGGGCCCTTGGGACTGTGTTTGAAGTGCTCCTGGCAGTGGTGGTGATGCCCACACTCGGCTGGCGCTGGCTCCTCATCCTCTCTGCCCTCCCACTCCTGCTCTTTGCTGGCTTGTGTTTTGTAGGTATTCCTCAAGGATTCCTGTAAATTCCTGCAATTCCCACTCCTTCACCCCGTTCTGTGACCCAGCTGAAGGAAATCAGGACAGTTTTGAGCTCTCTGGTGGTGTCTTCTGTGAAATAACTGAAATAATGACCAAAAAATGTGGTTCCAACAGGGTGCTGGGAAAAACATTCCAGGGAGAGTTGTGTTGATGTGACTGTAATTGCTGGAGGACAATGGAGGGCTGGAATTTGGTGAAATCAGGCCTGGGACCCTCTCCAATTTAATTTGTTTCAACTAAGCTCAGTGGAATCAACATTTTATCGAAAGCTGTTGCTATTTCCCTAAATTCTCTTTTGATTTTGTCACTTTTAGAATCAATTTCCACTTAAAAATCCTGACAAATCAGGGATAGAATCTACAGACTGCAGGTCAGATTCCAAAACAAGTTAAACCTGAGCTTCAGTGATATCTTTTATTATATATTAGGTGATATCTTTGCCAAGCATTCAGTCTCCTCATAGATAAATGTCCTTGTCAGGTGATTCAGCAGCCTTTTTTATTCCTTAGTTTTTCAGGAATGCCTCCAGTTATCCAGGTGCTCACAAGGTGTTTCTAAATTAAAAGGAACTTAAACCCATAAATTTTGGAATGCCAGGAGCCTCTTGTTAACTGCCCTGGATGCTTTACCACTCCTACACGGAAGGGATAATGTAAAAAACCTGCAAAAATTCCCAACAGTTTTCAAGGATAAACCCAAAGGAGTGGAAGGGAAAGGGTTCTGAACTCAGGGGGAACGTGGGGAGTTGCAGTTTTTAAAGCCTGATGAGATGATTCTTGGAATTCTTCCTCGGAATTCTTCAAGCTTAGCGCTGTAATCCTCTGTTATGTGAAAATCTGCTGGAGTCACTGAGATTCCCCCAAAGGAAAATCCCAGAGTTGATTGCTGGTTGTGACACCCTCCTGTGTGTGTGTGTGTGTGACCTGCTCTGCTCCCTTAGTGGCTGCCAGAAAGTGCCAGGTACGATGTGTTATCTGGGAACCAGGAGAAAGCTCTGGCCACCCTGAAGAGGATTGCCACGGAAAATGGAGCTCCAATGCCCTTGGGAAAGCTGGTGGTTTCCAGGCAGGTACGTGCAGGTCACAGGCACCTCCAGAGCAATGAAACTGAGGGGTTTTGTAAGCAAATCATCAATGTTATGTTCAATTTTAATGTCTCAGCCAGGCAGAAAAAATGGGGTTTGATCACTTAGGCCTCTTCCCCAGGAAGAGTTAATTTCTCATTTGGAAGTGAAAAGCAGGTTTAAAATGGGCATTAATATTATTTAACCTCATTATTGTTAAAGAAAACCAGACCTTGAGGTTATTGAAGAGCTCAGGTCAGAATTCCTGGATCTGAATTCATGAGATAAAATGAAATTTGACATTTTAGCTGTCCCTCATCATCCAGCTTCTGCTTGTTCCCAACAGGAGGACCGAGGCAAAATGAGGGATCTTTTCACTCCCCATTTCCGCTGGACCACGTTGCTGCTCTGGTTTATTTGGTAAGAGAAAACCTAAAGGTTCTGTGCCAGCTCAGCTCTAAATGGATTTTACTCAAATACAGCAACTTCCTCCTCAGGAAAAAACAACAACAACAAAAATAATCCCAACCTGTATTGATTTGCAATTTCTTCAACCACCCAATCATTCCCAGTCAAATTGCCCTTTAATTTTCTGAATGCTGAAATAGCTTTGAGGTAGGACTTTTGATTGGTGGTGTTTCTTTTAAGTTGGACCAGCTGAAACTTCCTCTCTCATTTGCTTTCTTGCAGGTTTTCCAATGCTTTTTCATATTATGGCTTAGTTTTATTAACTACAGAGCTCTTCCAAGCAGGAGATGTTTGCAGCAGTGAGTATTGCTCCATCTTTTATTTTTAAATATGCCCTGTTAAAACTGGTAGAGTATCTTTTATTAGTTCACCTTCTGCTGGTGGCTTGGAAAAAAAATGTGGCTTTAGGTTTACTTTATTTTAAATACTTCCTCATCTCTGCCCAGTGCAGAGAGGTCCTGCAGTGTTTTTGAGCCCAAAATGTCAAACAGCAAGACAACCTTCAAGGCAGACCTGTTCTTCTTGATAAAAAATAAATGATTGAATAAATACAAGTGATTGAATAAATACAGATTTATTGCAGATTTGACAGGTCTAATTAGTTCTGAGGGAGAGAAACTGCTGCTGTGGAGCTCCTGGGTTCTCAAGATGGGGAAACATGTTGAGAAAAAAGATAATGGTGGGAAATCAGATCCTTTGTGTTGCAGATTTTTTTTGGGGTGGGAAAAGAAAGGTGCTTTGACTGAGTTAAGAAGAGGCTTGAACAGTTTGATTTCCAAGGAGAGTAATGATTGCATTCAGAACACTTGTAATTAGGGAAAACTGCCTGGAAGTTGGGAAATTATAAAAGGTGGATGGGGAGTGCTGGAGCAGCCCCAGGGTTGAACAGCAGTGATGAGCTCTGAGAGCTCTGACTCAGGTTTGCCTCCCCAGAGAAGGACACAGCCCGTAAAAACCCTTGTTTTTATAAGGACACGGGGTTATTCAGTATTCTCAGAGTGTAGGAAGTGTTGGGATCCAAATTTGTGTTGGGAGAAACTGAATTATTTGAGTTAATTCTGTCCTGAGCCCTGGACTGGAAAATAATTCAGGCTGTACAGCTGATAAGGAGGTGGAATTTTCACTGAGCTGAGACATCCTGTCACGGAAAACATGATAAATGTTCAGTGTTTCCAGGCAAAATCACCAAGCATTGCTCTTCAATGCCCCTCTGACTCTGAATTCCATCCCAGCAGCACATCAGGCATTCAGAAGGGGAATAACAATTAAATCAGAGGGGCAGAATCACTTGAATTTCTGTCCCTAGACAACTTTCCAGAAGTATTTTAAAGGATGGTGGGCGCAGTGAATCCATACCAGTCCTTCCAGTCCATCTCTTCCTAAATTTGAGCAGTAAAAATGAGAGACCCAGCAGGAAGATAAACAGGAATGCTTAAAATATATGAAATATTGGTGGGTTTTTTTTCCCTGCAGTATCCAGCAGAAGGCAGGAAGTGAAAGCCAAGTGCAGCCTGACCTGTGAGTACCTGACAGAGGAAGATTACACTGACCTGCTCTGGACAACCCTGTCAGAATTCCCTGGTAAGGAGCAATGAGAAGCACCAGTTTTTGACTTGGAATGGCTCAGGGGGTGGGAATGGGCTCTGGCAGCAGCAGAGGAATGGGGATGTCTGGCCTGATGCTTCCCACAGCACTCTGAGCTCCTTGCTGTTGCTGTGGATTCTCCCTGCCCTGGGATTGCTGCAGAAAAAATCAGTCATTGCTCTGGAATGGCCCTTGTGTCTGTTCCAGCCCAGCAACACTTCAGGAGGAGGAAAACCAACTCAAGCAAAGGGGCAGAAACACTGGAATTTCTATCCATAAGTGACTTTCCAGAAGTATTTTCAAAGGGTGATGGGTACAGTGAATCCATGGAGAACTTGCTCCCTAAATCTGTGTCCAGCCTCAGTCCTGATCCTGTGATTTTCAGGCAATTCCAGCAAATTTTGATGGACAGGCTGGCATAGGACAAGCAAAATAGCGGGAAACAGTCATTGATCCTTCAGATGGAGGGGATCTCACAGTGTTAATCTGATTGAAACAACACCAGAGACAGGGATCAGGAGATTTTCACTCTTTTGGATCATAACTTCAGGGCTAAAAGCTCAAGGAGAAGCCATTTAATGAATGATAATTTGCAAATGTGACTGAGAAATATGCACAGTCATTCCTAAGAGGAGTGTGCTGCCAAACAGTCATTTTGGGAAGGATTCCCAGAAAAAAAAGAGTGGGTACCTTGGAGTGGTGCTGTGGATGAAGGATCTGGTTTGATCCTCACACACACTGAGGTGGGAGTGAGAAATATTGACAGGACACCTCTGGATGTGACACTGATGCTGGAATAATCCCCACTCCTGCTGTGCATCAGCTTTCAAAAGGATCTGGGAAAAATTGCGTTGGAGGGTGAGATTTACTGAGCTTGATCTATTTCCTGTCAAAAAGCAGGGGAGAAATGGTTTGGTGAAACATCTAAATAACAGAACAGAAAGAAAATACCACGTTCTAAAGAGCCCTTAAATCCAGCAGGGAACAATGGCCAGAAGTTGAACAGAAATTCTTCCAATGAGCCATGAGCTGGTGTTTTCACATCAGCAATCCCTGGCTGGGAGTGTGGATTTGTGGATCTGGGAGCATGTAGCAAGGACTCAGCAGCTGGGACACAGAATTCCTGTTTTCACATGACACCCATCCCACAGCCCTACCTGGGGCCAGCAAAGGATTGGAAAGAGAGGCCAAAATTTCCATTCCAAACCACCCAGCTGTGTTAAATCGATTCCCAAGGGTCTCCTGCTCTCTTCCCACAGGTGTGTTGGTGACCCTGTGGATCATCGACCGCATAGGCCGCAAGAAAACCATGGCCTTGTCCTTCCTTGTCTTCTCCTTCTGCAGCCTCCTGCTCTTTCTCTGTGTTGGAAGGTGAGTCCAGCACAGGGAATAACTGGAGTAAAGGATTTATCCATGCCCTCTCTTGGTTATGGTGGGAGAACTGGGAGTGGTGCTGTGGTCATGCTCAGCTGGAGATGGATTTAAGGCTGGGGTTGGGTTTTCTTACCAGAGATTGGGAGGGAAGTAAAAGTGAATTCCAAGTGAACCCAACAGATTGTACTTAACATTCCCAAACTCTGCTCTCCTCTTTCTTCTCACAGAAATGTTCTTACTGTGCTGCTCTTCATTGCAAGAGCTTTTATTTCAGGAGGATTTCAGGCTGCCTATGTTTACACCCCTGAGGTAAGGGGGTTGTTGTGGGAATATTCAAGGGGAGTGAGAACAAGGTGGGAAAGTCGTTTTCATGACCTGTTCCCAGTGGACCTCACCCCAGACTGGAGCTGTAGGTCCCATTGTCATTGTCAGACAGCATGTGCTGTGGCACCACATATTAGTTCTCTTTGATTTAGGAGTGGAAGGAAGAAAACTTCCCGCTGGGATTGATTTGATGTTTTTTTCCACAGGTTTATCCCACAGCCACACGTGCTTTGGGCCTGGGAACGTGCAGTGGAATGGCCAGAGTGGGAGCCCTCATAACCCCGTTCATTGCACAGGTAAATCCCTTCTCCTGGGAGACTGGAGGCACAGGAAGCTTGGATTGGTGATCTTGGAGGTCTTTTCCAGCTTTAGCAATTCCGTGATTCTATGAAAATTATGTAGAACCTGCTTTTCTTCCACTGTCCCAAGCTGCTCCAGTTTCCTCCCTTGGACATTTCCAGGGATGGGGCAGCCACAGCTTCTCTGGGAAACCTCTGCCAGGACCTCCCACCCTCACAGGGAAGAATTCCTTCCTAAAATCCAGTCTAAACCTGCCCTCTGAGAGTTTAAAACCACTGTCCCTTGTCCTGGCATGATCTGTAAAATGTCCCTCTCCCTCCTTTCCAGAATAAAGTTAAACTTTATTCCCAATACTATGATGAAAAATTCTGTTGCTCCATCAGTGTGTGTATTTCCATGTTTTGCATTCCCTGCCTTTTTCCTGCAGGTGATGTTGGAATCTTCAGTCTATCTGACTCTGCTGGTTTACAGTGGCTGCTGCCTGCTGGCTGCCCTGGCCTCCTGCTTCCTGCCCATCGAGACCAAGGGCCGTGGCCTCCAGGAGTCCAGCCACAAGGAATGGGGCCAGGAGATGGTGGGCAGAGGATCTCATTCCCCAGGGGAATCGCAGGAATGACAGGACATGGAAACCTGCTGGAAGAATGAAGGATAGGAGCGAGATGTCTCACAAAACCTCTGAGTCCGAAGCATGGGAAGCTGACCACCATCACTGCCAACGTCACGTGTCAAACTGCAGGAGTCTGGGGTTGAACCCCAGCAAATTGTGTTGCTGCTGCTCTTTGCTCACCCTCATAAAAACTTTCTGGATGGAGAGGCCTTTGATCCAGATATCATTGGAAGTTTAGCAGGAGGGGTTTCTCTTCAGTCTGTCATGCTTGCATGGTCAGCTCTTCAGCTTAAAGTGTCCCGTGCCAAGCAAATGCCAAGTGACTGCAGCCCAGCATAAGCTGTCATTAAAACACTGAGCTCTCGATGCCTAAAACCAAGAGGTTCATGTTTAGTGTGGCCCTGGCCTGGCACAGGGTGGATTCCATCCCCTACACTATGGATTAAATGCCTGCCTTGCACTTTTAGCCATCAAAACCACCACCAAAATGTGGTTCTGGCAAACCAACCCGGACTTTCCAGTTGGGTTCTGTTCCTGGATTGCTTAGAAACTGATTCCTGACTGTTTCTCCCATCCCAGGTGGGTAGCTGGAGCAGGGAGGGTGGTGTTTGCTGCAGAGCCGGGACGTTGTAGCAGAAATGTAACTCAGAATCGTTCAGGTTGGAAAAGACCTCCAAGCTCATCAAGTCCAATGTGTAAATCCTCATGTTTTGGAGCAGAATTGGAATTTTCTGGCATTGCCAGGGACATTGAGCTCTCTCTCTCTGTTGCTTGGAGTGGGGAGGTTCTGACTCCTGGGGTTCTCTGTGTGGATCCAGGTGTGTCCCTGCTCCGTTACCTGGGCACATCCTCACAGTGGGGCATCCCCAAGAAGAGTCGGGAGCGCTGCTGTTGGGATGGAGACACTCCCTGGCAGCTGGGCAGAACCTTCCCTGCTGATTGTACATTGATTGGTGACAAAGAATGTAGCTGGAATAAATGATCAAAACCATGGGAAGGGCCCATCTCCAGTGACCTTGGAAGAGGAACATCCTTCCTTCAGGTGTGGCTCCTCAAGGGGTGATCCCGCTCTTGCCAGGGAACGTAGCAGAGCTCAGGTGAGGACAAGCTCGTCTGGTTTGTCACAAACCTGTCCCTAGGCACGAGTCAGGTGGCAGAGTCTGTGGAAATGTGATCTGAGGTGTGCCTCATCCAGGTCTCAGTGGATTTCCAGGATTCCAGACCTTGGGACACACAGCCAAATGTGGGTGAGATGGACTTGGTGAGGCTGTGGAAGCAGCAGGGTTTTATGGCCTGTCTGAGCAGGTGTCTCACCTGAACACACATAAATGTGCAACTCATGTTTACAGTTGAACATTTTAAGTATCCTGGGAAGAAGGTCTCATCCCTGGGGTCAGGAATAGGTCTCCAAGTCCATGTTTGGTGCAGTACAAGTGAGCACTGTGGGGCACGGCTGTCACTGAGGGGCACAGCTCTGAGGTCACTGCAATGCTCCACCATGTGCCAGGCTGCTCATTTGGAGACTGAGGGGAAAACAGGAGTGGGTAGTTCCTTAAAGAAAGCCAGGAAAGTCAGGCTGATGGAAAAGGTCAAAGAGGTTGTTGAAATTCTGTGTGGGGGGATGTTCTGCTGAGAACAGAGTTCACCAAGGCACCGAGTGTCCATCCAGTCCCACTGGAGGATGGTGACTCAGTGAAGGATTCCAGGAATGGTTGGTGGAAACAGGCAAACTTGGCTTTTCCCAGCAAGATGAAAATGAATTCAGCTCCCAGGGGATCCCTGGGATCCCTGTGGTTCCCTGGGCTCAGCTGTGGGTGATGGCACAGAACCCAGCTGGCTTGGTTCCCTTTGTGCCCCTGTCCCTGTGTCCTCATGCTCCACCAAGATCAAGCTCCAGCTGATCCCAGGTAGGGCTCTGGTGGCACTGACAGCAACCACAACTCATTTGTTCACCTTTCTGGCAGGCTGGAGTTGGCTCATTCTCCCTGTGTGCCTGGGGGAGCCTGGAGCAGAGCCAGAGGGACCTGTTCCATGGAATGCCAGAATTCCAAAGTGATTTGAGTTGGGAGGGACCTTAAAGCTCATCCAGTCCCACCCCCTGCCATGGGCAGTGAAGCTTTCCGCTAGACCAGGTTGCTCCAAACCTGACCTTGAACACTTCCAAGGATGAGGAACCTCTCTGCTTTCACTTGGGCAGGCCTCTGATGTGCTGGATATGGGACACAGCAGCGAGGGAGCAGATCCTGGATGGGTTTAATCAGATATTGCCCCACATGTGTGGCCAGCGAGCTGGAAAACCTGCTGGGCTGGGATCTACTGGAGCTGGGATCTACTGGAGCTGGGATCTACTGGAGCTGGGATCTACTGGAGCTGGGTTTGCCTCTGCACAGTGGGGCTGTTCACCCCTCAGTGACAGCTCTAACATTCCATCCTGTCCTCCTGCTGCTGGAGGCCCTCGAGGCCATTCCAGTCCCCCAAATGCTTCCATGTTTCCTTCCTTGGGCTTGCCATGAGCTGTGTTTGCATACCAAAACTCTGGAATTGAGCCTGGGTAGAGGTGGCAGAGAATCCAAAGTGCAGGACAGGCCTGGCCTGAAGGAACCACCCCCCTGTGGTCCAGTTTGTTACTCAATGCCTTGGGTTAAAATTCTGCTTTCACGGGGTTAATGTTCACATCTCACTTCATTTTTTTTTAGGGGAATATTCAGCAGTTTTAAAGAATTGCATTCAACAGCCTTTAGAGAGTTTTAGGTGAAGTTTATCTGTTCGTGCACACCTGGATCCTACAGATAAGCTACTTCCCAGGTAAAGATTTATAGGGAATGCAACATTTTCCATGCTGTTGAGTATATCAGTTTTAACCTGTGACATTTACAATGTTAACCAAAAACTGGAAGGCATTTTGGCTTTTCACTTTTTATGAATTCTGCACTAAAAAATAACTATTTAATGATAGAAATACCAGGATTGGTGTTGCTGGGTCTTTGATTTTGTTAAAGCTTGATCCAAAGCTCACTGAAATCTGGGAAAATCTCCTCTGGATATCCATGGGCTTTGGATCAGCTGAATGAAAGGGAGAGGTAAGAGCCCACCACAGCTGATCCCACCTGGCTGAATTCAGCAGGAGCCCGTTGGGCACTGGAGAAAAGGAGCTGGAATTCAGGAGTTGCAGGAATTTGCATATAATTAATAAGAGAAGGCCATTTTAGCTTGTTCACTGAGAACACTGGGGTTGACACCCACCAGTTATAAATCACCACCAGTAGATTTTATCCGTAGGCCAGCACCGTTTAGGTACAAAATAAACTTCCAAAGAATCCTTTTCCACACTGATTATTTTTCACTGGTAAGGGAATTACCGCAACCACTTTGTTTCAAACCAGAAAGTGAGATCCTCTGGAATTCAAACAGAATTGTGGGATTCAGTTTTGCCGAGTGTCCAAGATATCAACGTGCCAAGCTGGTGTGGGAATGTAATTCCCCAAGTATGCTTGGATGGAATGATTTGTTATTCCCAAATACTTGCCAAAAGAGCAGTGAATGTTTCCATGTCTGAATGTACAGTTTCTAAGCTGGATTTACGTTTTAATGTTGAAAAACTTGGTGTATCTCAAGCTTGTTGTAAAATACTCCTCTGGTTCCTGTTCCCGACGCGGCATTGGAGAGTTGAAGTCCACATTAGATATTTTATGTTAAACAAATAAATAGTTTTTTCAGGAAAGAAGTTTTTGGCTCTTCTGGGGGATGTTTAGGAGGGGTCAAAACTTTGCATTTTTATTTTTTTTTGTCTTGGTGTTCAGAAGTTTAAGCTACAGGGATCAGCACTCTGCAGCTCTGACTCGTTTTCTGTCTGTTTTGTGTATTTAGATGTAAAGAAAAGTCACAGGATTCCTGTTCCCATTGTAAGTAACCTCACTACAACAAAATCTTGTGGATGGTCCATCTCTGGAAGTGTTCCAGGCAAGGTTGGGCAGGGCTTGGAACAACCTAGGATAGTGGAAGTTGTCCCTGCCCATGGCAGGGAGTGGAACTGGATGAACTTCAAGGTCCCTTCCCACCCAAACCATTCTGGGATTCTGTGATTTTTTAAATTCTCTTGAATCTTTAATTGTTTTTCATATTTAATTCAGTTTGGACATTAAACCCCAGGCAGTTTGGCCTCTTCCCTGGATGTTTTTTTTGGCATCAGGTGGCTCCACATGTTTGGGGCAGGGAGGGTTCCTTCTACTAATTTACATTTTAATATAAACCCTTCATTTCCCTATCATTTTTCTAAACCACAATTAAGTGCCCAACCCTATTTTCCTCTGCCCTGTCACTGTTATTCTTATTTTGATGCCAAATAATTTATAGGCAGGAGGTGGTTCAAGGATGAGTCAAAATGACTAACGAGCTGCAAATCCTCCTCATGCTAATGCAGGGTGTTCTCATCCCAGAATGCATCCATCTTCCTTCTCCCAGCCTGGGATGAAGAGCCTCATTCCTGGGAATGGAAATAGTTGGGAACTGGAAGGGTTTGTGTGGCTGAAGCAACGCTGGGGGGCAATATTCTTTCTTCTGTGGTTACTTTTTGGTATCCTGGGGCGTTTCTAAAGCTCATTCTCGGCATCATGGAATATCCTGAGCTGGAAGGGACCCACAGGGATCATCCAGTCCAACTCCTGGCCCTGCACAAACTCCCCAACAATCCCACCCTGTGCCTGAGGGCATTGTCCAAACGCTCCTTGAGCTCTGGCAGGAGTTTTCCCAAATGCCAGAGCTGCTGTTTGCCAACCTCCCTGATACTTGATGTGCTTCCAGCTTTGTTCTGGGTCACAGGAGATCCTTGTGGAGAACTGGGAGCTTCTAAAATGGGCTGACACTGGACATGGGAAGTGGAGTTTAGTGTGTGTCAGAGGACATGCAGGAATTGTCCAGACCCCATTCCCTGACTCCCTGGCCTCAGGAGAGAGCTTCAATCCCTCAGTGGGGAATTTGCCCAGGGAAGCTGTGGCTACCACATCCCTGGAAGTGTCCAGGGTCAGGTTGGATAGGGCTTGGAGAAACCTGGGATAGTGGAAAGTGCCCTGACAGGGTGGTGGGACTGGATGATCTTGAAGGTCCCTTCCCATCCAGATCCATGATTCTGTGATTTCTGTGAGTTCTTAATGCCCTGGGGACTGTCAGCAACCACAGGCCTTCACACAATGATATTCCAGGTTCTCTGGTCTGCTTGGAATCTGCAGTGATGACTCCAACTCCTCCAGGATGAAATGTCTAGGACAAATGTGTGTGGAGACATGGAATGATGATCTCCTGGGACATTTCTATGGAATCATCATTTGAGGCCCTGCCCGTGCCATCACTGAGAGGAACAAGCATCACGCACAGGAGATTTGAACATTCCTTTTATTGGTCACACAGATTAAATTGAGGCCTTTAGAAAACAAACAGAATTAACCTGCAAATAAAATTACAGATCAGCCCATTCCTGTTTGCCAAGAGGCCACGTGAGATCACAGGGCAGTGGCTCCTGCAGGCTCTGAGATCCCAAGAATCTTATTGCCAGGCGTACAATAATTTCCTACACCCAGCAGAATTTTCCCAAAATCACCAAAGTGGGGCTGGATTTACAGCACACAACATGCTCCTGAATTATTTGGAATAAGTGAAACCAAGGGGATCCAGTTCACCTGAATGGCTTTTCCTGAGATGGGATCACAGACTATTGAGTTCAGCATTAATCAGCAGGGAATTTTCTCCAGCTTTTGTTTTCCTTTTCCTACCCTTTTCCTGACTTTACACAGTGACAGCAACATTTCCAGGGAAGCTGGAAATTCCTTTGGACAAACTGGCTCCCAATTTCCCCTGCCCAGCTGTTTGCTGAGCCCACGGCACGGAGATGCACTCGGGCATTCCCGAATTGCCAAGGCGCGGCCGCAGCACGGCCCACGCTGCCGAGCTATTCCTGGCACACGGAGTCATCTGCAGAGAGGAGCTGCATCATGGATGAGTAAGGAACTCTTGGCTTATCCACACAGGAGGGTGAGCCACGCACTGTGCTGGGCTCAGATTTGGATTTGAGGCTTCCTCACCATCCAGTGCCCTGTCTGGGATGGTTTGTAAAGCAGGAAAGACACGTGCCATGGGAAAATTAGACAGGCTGTATCTTCAGAGCAGTGTGTTGGGTCCCCAACAGTGCCCCTGAACGTGCCAAAAAGTCCTGCTCCCCTTCTTAGAGGCACAACCTTTCCCAAGCCAGGCCCTCTCTCTGAGCTGTGTCCCACAGCTGGGAGAAATGGGAAGCTGAGGGGCCCATGGGAGTTTTAGGGACAAGAAAAGCTATTTTCTTATGCTCTCTGCTATATATAGAGCCTGGCAAGACCACAGGGCTGGAACAAGTTGCTTTTGTTGCTAAAACATCATTTGAAAAGGCCATTTTAGGCAAGTGCTGCTGTCTGGTGCCAGCTACACTAAGCAGGTGCTGCGGGCCGAGCTTTGTCCTGGCAGGAATGTGAGGAAAACTGGTGTAAGCCAGGCACGTGCTCCCAGAGCTGCTGTTACTTCCCTGGGAGCCTCAGAGCTTCTTCCTACTAAGGAGCTTTCGCCTCCTGGGGGGGAGCCTGTAAATCTAATTACACACTGGGTGTTGGAGCAGCCAGCACAGACCTCAGGTGTCCCCAGCTCTGTTTCAGATCCTGTCCCCTGGTGCAGATGAACTGCAGGACTGTCCAGGGTTCAGCTGAACCCAGCTTGCCCTCTGCAGCCTGACCCCAGACAGCACTTTGTCATGGATGATTAGTCCATATCTGATAGCCCTTCCTCTAGGCAGGCTGTGGGAGAAGTGGAGCCATCTGGAAAACGACAGGGACCTGGAAATGAGATGCTGAGAGCCAGAGCTGGAGCAGGGTGGAGCAGCCCGTGTGTGTATCCCTGTGTTGTTCCCATCCTTCTGCTGTGATTCCTAAGCTACTGTTGTCACATATTCCAGGGGAGCAGGTGCTCACAAGCGGGGCCCTGGGGGGGTGGCCAGCTGCTTCTTCTCCTGCAGGATGTTCCCAAAGAGCCGCGCCGCTGCCATGGCACAGCCCCAGTGGATGGTGATCCCAAACCCGCCGTGGCCGTAGTTGTGAATCACCTGGGGGAGAAACACAGAATCCCAGGATAGGTTGGGGGGAATCTCAAAGCCTGTCTTGTTCCATCCCCTGCTGTGGGCAGGGACAACTCTTACTAAATCCAGGTTGCTCCAACCGATCCCTGAGCACTTCCAGGGATGGGGCAGCCACATCAATAATTTGTTTCAGTTTCTCTGACATTTATCCCTGGGCTCAAAGAGTCCCTCGATGTTGGTGGGGAGATGGAGAGAGGGCCAATCATGACTGGGGCACAATTAACACAGTCATTAATTACACTCAGCCCCCGGGGCTGTGCGGGTACCTCTGCCTGGAGATTCCCGAGGCGGATGCTCTCCCTCTCCAGGCGGACCGAGGGCCGTGCTGGTCTCAGGCCACTCCACTCCTCGACAATCTTCGCTTTCTGGAAGCAAAACCACATCAGCACCACACAGCATTCCTTGGAATCCCACCAGCAAAACCTTACAGCACCAGGTGAGCTCTGAGATGAGCTGGGACAGGGGTTTCCCCATCCTGCAGCAGCTTCAGGGAGAACAATTTGGGATGGCAGTGCCAGCCTGGAGCTGAGGCAAATCCCTGTGCCAAATCCCGCTACCTTTCCTGCTGATCCAGGGGATAACAGCAGCACTGGGAGTGGACACAACCCAGCCTCACCCCACACAACCCTCCTCTAAAGGTGTGGGGACACCTCAACCAAAGGGTTGGAACCTCCCAGAGCTCTGCTTCTATTTTTTACCAGCTACATGAGTAATTATTATCCCTCCAAACCTTGTCTCCGCCCCAGCCCTGCCTCAGCCAGGTGGAAGAGCCCCGGGTGTCCGTGATGGACACACAGAAACTCATGGAAACATCGAAGTCCTGTGGTTTGGCCCAGCAGCCATTCCTGCATCCCGAGCTGGCCAGCTCCCCGTGCCCCATGCTGGCAGTCAGGTCACCCACCTGGAGAGTCGGGAGCAGCCGGCAGCAGTTGTCCCAGATGGATTTGTGATCCTTGGCACTGTTCTCCTCACTCCAGTTTCCGTGTTGGTAAATCCCTCCCAGGACCGTCACCTCGCTCCTGCACCGGGAGCCAAAGGAGACACACGGTGGTGGCTTGTTCCCAGCTGTCCCCTGTGGGGCCACCACATGGAGGGACACTGTGTGAGTGTGATGTTGGATCCTGCTACACCCTGAGCCTGCAAAATATTCCAGTGGGAGAAACTCCCACACGGAGCAGGCGGAGAGCGGTGCCTGCACATCTGCTCGTGAGCAAGTCACTCATTAAATCCTGTCAGCCCTTCCTTGTCTGGGCAAAGCAGACAGATAATTCCATCCTTATCAAACAGGTCTGCTCCTGCCTGGCTCAGAAAGAGCTGGAAGGAACAGGATGGCTCTGGAGGGGAACACAGAGAACAGACTGGTGCTGCTGCCGCCCAAAACTCCTGTGGATTAACAAAGGACAGGAGGCAGGTTAAGGCTGAGGGGGGCCTGGAGGGATCTGTATCAGCTGGCACCTTCCAAAACCTTGCTTGATCATCGGGAAGCACAAAAACAACTGGAGGGACCCTCCAGGGCTGAGCCCTCCACATGAGCACTGGGTCCAGCTCTCCCTTTGGGATCAGCCTGGTGGCCAGCTCTGACAGCTCGAGCTAAAACAAGCACAGGCAGAGGAATTCATCTGTGGCTGGGACTGTGACCAGGAATCACTCGGGATACGCTGCATGGGGGCTGTGAGCCTGCAAAGCTCCTGTTTATATCCTGGCTGACTGCCTAAGCCTGAAGTATTAGGACAATAGGAAGTGCCAGAGATGCAGCATTCAAATTCCTGCTCAAAGACCCCTCTCCATTGCCACAGCAGGGTCACTGCAGGCCCTTGGGAGGAAGCAGAGCTGGGATGAACAGATGGATTTATTTATCCCATGGTGTATTTATCCCATGGTTTATCCCTGGGCAGGGCCAGGAGTTGGACTTGATCCTTGTGGTCCCTTCCAGCCCAGGATATTCCATGATTCTATGACAAACCCAACCAGGCTCACCAGCAGCTCAGGGGACAGTGAGGAGAAGGCTGAGCTTTCCCAGGGAGGTTTTGTTGAAGTAAAAGAATTCCTGCCCTGTTTTTATGGGAGCATGGATCAGCAGTGCCATTCCCCACCCTGAGCTGCTGCACCACAGTTTGGTCCACACCATTAATAATAAAGATGTCTATAGATGTGAAAACAAAACATGTCCCCCAGAATATCCACTCCACTGTCAGTGTTTGGCTGTTTTGGGGATTTGACCAGGACTGAGTTTGCTTTGGTGGATTTTGGTCCTTGGAAAAGGACAGGACATGGAAGCACCATGGTGTTCTCTGTGCCAACTGGGAGCTCCCTGGCTTTGCTGCCCACGTCCTTCTGCTCTTCTCCCACACAGCCAAGAAAAGCACCAGGGATGAAGCCAGGCCTGGCAGACACCATGTCCCAGACAGGGCTTTGGGGACACTGACAGTGGAATGTCACCAGTGCCAGCCAGCCCTGCCTCTGCCATCGTCACCTACCCTGGGATGATGTAGGGTGAGTTGTAGATCCCGGATTTCACGTCGTGAGTGATGATGAAATGCTTCACCCACGGGGCCAGGACCTGGGAGATGAAGGGGAGAAAGTCAGAGCTGGAGAGCTGGTGCCAGGCTTAGGGGGCAGTGGGAGGGACACGAGGGTCCAGATATGGGACCCTCCCTTAGCTCTGTGCCCCCTGTGCTGCCTTCCCTTGGAAGATGGGAAAACAGGAGCGCAGGTAGGGAGGAGTTTCCTTCTTTCCTGTGTTTCTCCAAATAATCACCATCTTTGCCCAAAGATTTTATGTGTTTTTATTGTCAACACTGTGCCTCTGACCTCCCCCAGCCCTCACCCTACGGAGAAACAGGCTGGAAACTGAGGGCATTCCCAGAGCTGACCCAGGAATGGGATCCTGGTTGGTTTCAGCTGAGGAGTGTTTGCTGGGAATCAGGAGCTGATGCCAGTGTGGATCCAGCCACAAGCCCATGGTTTTCCCCAGAGGGTACAGACACTCCTCGTGGTAACAGAGGGATTTTTGGGAAGCCCCCAGGCCTGGCTCAGCTCACCTTGATGATCTGGCCCCGGCCAGGCTGCAGCTCTGGGTCAGGCTGCAGGTCCCCAGCTCGCATCCCGCTGCAGTTCAGCACCACATCCACACCCTGGGAAAACAGCTGAGGAGAGAGGGACACGGCTGGGAGTAGCACACAGGGATGTTGCCACAGAGGCACAACATTCCTGCTTCCAAATGAGCCAAGTGCTCTTTCCAGAAGCCAGGAAATGGATAAACCATAAGGGCCAGATCCAGGGCACAGCTTCCCCAGCCAGCTCCTGCTGACACCCCATGTGTGCCACCAAGCCATTCCAGGGAAAGCTGCCAATCCGTGCTGGATAAATGCTCTACCCCATCCTCCATCAACCATCCTCAATACCCAAGACCCTTTTTCTTTCCTGGTAGAATTTATTTCCTGGATCTCGGCATAGTCTTGCTGCTGTCCCCTGGCCCATCATTCGTGCCAGGGAATATCTGGGAGCAGCACCTGCCTGCTGGATGCTGCTTCTCCACTCTGGGATGGGGCTGTGCCCTCTGCCCTGGCTCCACATCCCCACTCACCTCCTGGAAAGACTCAACCTTCTTATGGAAAAACTTCACTCCCCTCTGTGTCAGCCTGGGAAGCACAAGTTCATTTGTTACTGGCAAATTAAAAGTGTTCAATACCAGGACACCTGAACAGCATTAGAAATTACAGGAATAAAATCAAGCCCCAAATTCTTCCAAAGCTCTTGGATGCAGCTCCAGTTATCCCATTACTTTAATTTTTGTCATGCAAAAGATCCACTCCTGGGCTCACTGTTAAAGTGTTACTCCAATGGGGCAATGAAGAGGAATTCCAGACCCTCTTCCCTACTTCCCAGGGATGCATCTCTGGATACCCTATCCTGATGTGCAGGATGAAAATCCACACCTGCAGCCAGGGGAAACAGGAGCAGCTGCACTCACCTGTTGGTGAGCCAGGGCAGGTAACTCCTGCCCTCCAGCATCAGCGCCGTGTTGAACCAGCCATAGCTGAAAGAGGGGGAGAAAAGGCTGTGAGGACCTACAGGAGCCTCCTGCCCCAGCATTCCTGACAGCCACTGTGGATCTGGGACCCCAATTCCCCCTGGGACCCTTCTCACATGACTGCATGATTTTTCCTCCCTTTTTACAGCATAAAATACCTTCTGGTTTTCCTCCCCCATTTTGACACTGGTGAGGTAAGAGAGGAGCTGGAAGGGTTTCTGTGCTGGGTTGCTGCTTTTTTGGCCATTTGAATTTTTTCCTACTTATTTTAAGGGAAGCAGTTTTAAGGAAGTGAGGACACTTCTATGCCTGCAGTTCCTTCTCCCGCTGCCCCACGCCAGGGCTGTATTCAGGAGGTATCCAGGACTGTCCTACGTGAGTCTCCAAAGAAAAACAGACTGAAAAATACCTGTAACCAGGGAAGAGTTCAAGTTCTTTTGGTGTCAAGTTCCTGAATCCCAGGACAATGTTCTTCCAAGATGGGTCCTACAGCAGAGAAAGGGCTCTGAGATCATTAATGAACCAGGATCACCGTGGGACATAAGCTGTGGGGAGATCATGGGACACAGCCCATCCCAAAGGGACACAGGTGAGTGTACAGCTGCCAGCACAGCTGGAGAGGCTCTGTCACTCCTGTTCTCCTAGGGCTCAGCCCTTCCTCACAGCAATATTGCCTCGGGAGCACAGAAAACACCATGTCCCAGGCACTGTCACAAGGCAAACTTGGAAATATCGGGAAGCATTGGCTGGGAAGAAGCACAGCCCTGCCCACCGCAGGCAGCCGCTGAGCTGGAGCCTTTCCCAGCCCTGGCTGTGACCTGCTCCTTACCGGCACTGGCTCCGTGAACAGGTTGTAGCCAGAAATGAGGAAAAGTCCCATTTCCTTGGCTGCTGGGGAGTGCAGGTGCCCAAGGAAGTAATCGAATGTCTCTTTATTCCAGAGCCTGTGATGAGAATGGAAGAGTGGTGGCTCTGCCAGGCCCGTGGAGCTGTGCCAGGGCAGTTCATGGCACACAGGGAAAGGGACACAGCACCCTCCTCCTCCTCCTCCTCCTCCTCCTCCTGCTGCTGCTGCCTTACGTCTCCTGCAGGTTGCCGTGGTCACTCACGTAGGGCTGCCACAGCCCGGCCGCCCCATCGCTGGTGGTGTGGGGGGTGAAGCGGTCAGCGTAGACCTCCAGCTCCAGGGAAGGCACCAGGCTGTGGAACTGCTCATGGATGCACAGGGCGCTGGAGAGCCCAATCACCCCGGCCCCGATGACGGCTACGCGCATGGCTCCGGCTCCTGCAAGGGATAAGGGCTCCAAGGGCAGTGCTGGGGCTGCTGGACAAGCTGGGAACACCATGGGAGAACATCAGCTCCACTCCCAGAGCAGCAGGGAGGGGCTGAAATTCTCATGGTCCATTTGTGTGCTTTCCTTGTACAGTCTCCCAGGTCCTCCTCAAGTTCTGACCAGGGGCTGGAATCATGGATGTGGGGTTGTGGCTCCTCAGTGCCTGGGGAATGTCTCTCCACCCCTGGCTCTGCCAGCAGAAAAGCTGCAGCTCAGCTGCCACGGCTGCACTCCTCACCTGGCACAAGGAGCTCCAGGTGTGTCCTGCCCCGGGACAGGGGCACAGCCTCGGGATCCTCCTCTGCATCCCACCAACCACAGGCTGAGCAGCCAGGGAGATGCTGGAGCACCCAGCAACAGCTCCATCTCCCGAGGGACACTGTGAACCCTCCATTCCCAGCTGCCCAACCCTGCCCTGAGCAGCTCACTATCCTTCCCAGCCACTGGCACGGGCTGGAGGCAAGAGGTGGGCACGGATAGAAAAGATGGGAAGCAGCAGGCATTTTCCAGGGAGCAATGGTGGGTGTGATGAGCACAAGGCTGGATCCTCACACTCTTGTCACCCTCAGGGCTGCACATGAGGGTGGCTGTGCTGCCACCCCAAACCCTTCCAACTGAGAGAGTGGCTGTGGGTAAATTCTGGCTGCAAAGAGGGGCTGCAGCCCCTCTCCATCCTCTGGTTCCCTGTTGACAGCGCTTTCCTGCCTTGGAAAAGCTCTTTGCTCACTGCCTGTGCAGGGAATGGACAAAGACCAGTTTGGGGAAGGGCTGGGGGTGCAGATCCTTGGCTGATTCTGGGAGCAGGAATAAATTCCAGCCCACGGGTTTTTTTGGACAAAGTGAAGTCCAGCATCTCTGCTGCGATAACAGAGGGACTGACATTTGCCAGGATGGAGGGATGAGTCACCGGAATGGCGCAGCGGGAGCTGCTTCCCATCTGCCGTGGTTTTATAACCCGTGGGAACCAGGGTCACCTCCTCCGCCAGGGACAGGGACTTGCCCCAGCTGCCCCTGCAGCACCACCTGAGGAGGATCTGCCAAAAAATAATGGGAATACCCATTTTCCACCAGTTTACCTGCAGAGTGTGGGGTCCCCGGAGCAGTCACTGCCGTGTCCAGAGGCTTCAGAGTCAGAGTGGTTGTTACTGCCTAGCAGGGCAAGGTCTGAGTGTTCAGGACAGCAGGGCCAAAGTCTGCTCTGGCTCTAGGGAGAGAGGTGGAGTTCCCACGTGATGCCACTGGCAGGCAGCCCCAGAGTCATGGGAAACAGGGCCACCACCATCAGTGGCAGAACGCCATCCCTGCCACTTGTCTCCATGGTGACCACTGGTGGACCAGGACACAGCGATGCGTTTAGTGGGCATGGTCTTGGAGGTCTTTTCCAACAGCAATGATTCTATGGCTTCCTGCATCTGGATTTGCAGAATCACTTAGATTAGAAAAGACCACTGGGGTCAACCTTTGACTTTTGACCACCATCTTGCCAGGGCAAAGTAGTACCGGGTATTACTAGGTAGTACTATAGACCGAAGTACTAAGTACTAAGTACTAAGGTCACATCCAGTTGCTTCTTGAACACAAGATTAATTTGGGATCTGGAAAAATTTAGTGCTTCTGGCTCAGTTTTTGAGAAGGAAGAGAGGCTGAAGGAGTCAGGATTGTTCAGCCTGGAAAAGAGAAGGCTTCAGAGGGACCTAACTGTGGCCTCCCAGCACCTGAAGGCAGCCTGATGGAAAAATGGAAAGTGACTATTTACAAGGGCCTAGAGTGACAGGACAAGGGGGAATGGCTTCACACTGACAGCAGGGATAATAGATATTGGGAAGAAATTCTTCCTTGTGAGGCTGTGGAGGCCCTGGCACAGGTTTCCCAGAGCAGCTGTGCCTGCCCCATCCCTGGAAGTGTCCCAGGCCAGGTTGGACGGGGCTTGGAGCCATACGAGCCAGTGGAAGATGTCCCTGAGTATGGAATGGGATGATGAGTGAAACGGGGCGGGATTTTGGGGTGGGATGGGCAGCGAGGCCCCGCCCACTATCGCAAACCACTCCCACATAACGAGACCACGCCCCCTTCAATCCCCGCCCTTTCCCCCGCAGGCCCCGCCCCGGCCCTGCCCCTTCCCGGCGTGAGGGGGAGGCGGCCGCGGCCCCGCAGCTGCAGCCATGGCGCTGGTCACCCTGCAGCGCTCGCCGACCCCCAGCGCCGCCTCCTCGGCCAGCACGAGCGAGGTGAGCGGTGACGGGATGGGCAGGGACCAGGCAGAGGGAAGGGGAGAGTGAACCCCGGGGGTGGCGGCGGTGGATGGGGAGCGGGAAAGGGCGGGGTGAGGCCCCGCTCGGGGACAGGCCCCTAAAGCTCCCCCCCAGCATCCCGTAACCCAAAGCTTCTGGCTCTATCACCCCCATAGACCAAGGTCCCGGTCTCACGGCTCTGGCCTTTCACAGCTTTCCCCCTCCTGCCCCTGGTTCCACCCCCGCACGGCCCCCTTAGCCCTCCTCAGTCATTTGTCCCCTGTCTTCATCCCCTCGCAGTCCCCATGGCCTGACTTTCGACAGCCCCCTGGCACCAGCTCAGCCCCTCTCAGTCTCCCCAGCCCCTGGTTTCGTGCCCTTCACTGCCGCTGGTCTCTCATGGCTCTCAGCTCTGCACTCCCCTGGTCCCCCATAGCCACTTACCCTCAGCCTTCCTCCCATTGCAGCCCCCATGGCTCTGAGCCTCACAGCCCCCACCACTCCCCGGCCCAGCTCAGCCCCTCACAGCCCCCAGCTATCCCAGTCCCTTCTTCTCATAGCCCCTGATGCTGCACAGCCCCAGCCTTTTGATGCTGCCAGGCTGAGCCAGGCCTGGGTCTGTCCTGCCATCCCCCCACACACAGCCCCATTCCCTTATGGCTGTCCCCCATTCCTTCCCTCAGCTGGCAGGGAGCCTGAGCTCCCTAAACCCTAGGGCAGCCTGCTTCACCTCTCTCTTGCCAGGTAAATCTTTAGGCAGAGTGCTGGGTCTGTCTTCACAGAGCAGCTGTGCTGGCCCTAGACCTTGTCCCAGCTTGGCATCCCAGAGCTGCCACCACCTCCTCCCCCAGGGATGCTCTTCTTTGCCCAGTGTTATCCCTCTGTCATTGCCATGGCACCGTCTTTTCCCACATCTGCTCCAGCTCCCGCCCCTCAGGGAACTCACGCCAGCCCTTCCCCAAGGTGACCATTGTCAGTTCTCCAGGAGCAGCTCCCATCCTGCTCCACCCCGTACCTGTGCCACTGTGGCACAGCCTCCCCCGTGCTGCTGCCCTCTCCTTCACCCAGCACTGCTGCTCCAGGACCTGTACCTGCCACTTCACCTGCCCCGTGGTGCTATCCGTGCCCTGCTGGCCTGGCACTCTGCATGTCCCAGCTCTGCTGCACATTCCCTCCACTCCTGTGCCCCAGAAATGCCCTCTCCTGCCTCTGTCCAGCCTTGGGCTTCTGATTCTTCCCCCCCCACCACTCCCACATGCCATCCAAACACAGCTGCACCTCCAGTTTCTCTTTCTTCTTGCCTTTTTCCCTCCTATCTCATCTCTTTTGTGACCCTCAAAGACAGGCCTGGTGTTTCTCTGCACATCCTCCCCGTGCATCCCTCTCCCCACAACACTTCTTTCCTTTGATGTTCACTGTCCTTGGCTTCGCTCTGTCCCCACTCCTGCCAGGTAAACAATCCTATTTGTCACCTGTCAGGTCCCTGTGACTCCCCCGATTAGCTGGTCTGAGGGGGGAGCAGGAGGGGGGAGCCACAAAGCTCCCAGGTTCTCCCTGGCCCCAGGGGCTGCAGGGGGTCCCTGGCTGCAGGGACCCAGGTTTGGGCCAATTGAGCAGCTTGGAGATGTGAGTTGCACTTTTTGAGGGAGTTTTCAGAAGGAATTTTGTGGGATCTGGTTTAGACAGAGTGTTAAACAAGACCCAGTTGCCACCCAATCTAGAGAGATGAAAATGAGCTGTAACCCTGGAGCAGGCAGTGGAATTAGACTGGATTTAACTGGTGCAGGTGGGACAGGAGTCAAAGCAGGCCTTGCCATGTACATCTGTCTTAGGCGTTGCTTTGTGTCAGAGCTGCTGCTAGTAATTGTATTTTCTATGGGGTGACCATACAATTCTCCTTTTTTCTCCCAAAAATGCTGCCCCAAATTTGCTGCCAGGTGTTGCCTGGCAGGGCACTTCTGCTACCAGCACCCACAGCTCAGGTGTAATGAGGTGGCTCCCAGAGGAAGACATTGAGTCCTGTTAGAATGGTCTCTTCTGGCATGAAATACCATAAAATTATGATTTCCAGATTCAGCATGTTGTTTTTGCAAAGCTAATTTACAGAAAAAAAACATCAAAAAGTGCCAGCCTGTTCCTGTTCTTTTAGGATCTTTCTTGCTAGGAAAATCAGGTTTCATTGGGGCTTTTAGCTGAATAATTACTAGGAGATATTTTAATGGGAGACTACCACCACATGCTCTTGCTAATTGTGTCTGTGCTGCTGTGGCCTCTCCTAACTCACAAACCCAAAGGAATTTATTAAATGGATGCTGCCATAAATTCTTAGGAGAGAATGGTTCACACACACTTACAAACTTGCACTGCTTGTGCATCTCCCTTCCACACACCTCCCATTCCTGTGGTACTTCAGAGCGGCCACGCTCAGGACAGTCCCCAGGGAGGGATGTGGCAGTGGCTGCTGGGTCTGGCCATGGTGGGATGAGCAGCTACAGCTCTGCACCCCACAGTGTGTGGTGCACCCCAAATCCAGCTCCACACCCCACAGTGTGTGGTGCACCCCAAACCCTGCCAGCTGTAAGGGAAGCTCTAAGCGGGACAGGGCAGGAGGGCTCGGCATGGCCTTGCTTTGGTTTCCCTGCAGTTTTTAGTAGAAAATACAGGGAAGGTCAGCTTTGGGAAACAGCTCAGCTCCTGCAGGAGAGGAGCCCACAGCAGCTCCAGGCCCAGCCCTGCTCTGAGCCCCAGCTGATGACATCCAAGAGTTGTCATCCTCACAGTCACGTTTGTTTAAAAAGGAAGAAAGTTTTTCTCCATTTGTTGCTACGAGACAGCCCCAAACAAATAGGAGGGTGACCCTGCAAAGGTCCCAAACCTGCCAGAGCTTCCCAGGGCTGGAGGATCTGCCAGTGGGGGCACTGGGACTCGGGGTGCTCTGGGGCCCTGCCTGCAGCCCAGCTCTGCACTGTAAACAGACTAAAAATAGCCATGGTATGCTCCTCACCCTCTGCTGGGTCAGTCGGGACAGCCTTGTGCATCTCCCTGCATCCAAATGGCCACAGTTCCAATATCCGGCCTCTGCTGTTACATTTGCGGGATTTTTTTTTTCCCCCCTTGCTTTACTTGTTTTTCACAGATTGTCAGCAGAGCAGCTCCTGTGCCCTCCAGCCTCCTGAGTCCTAGCTTGTGAGGATGGGGAGCAATCCAGGTCCCCTCACCCCTCCAAAGCTCCCATCTTGAACATTTGAAATGATACAATTAACTTGTTTTTAACTTGTACAAAACCACCTGGAAACAAGTAACTTTTACTGGGACCCTCATTTGATGTGGGTTTGGAGCTGTGCTGTTGGAAATAATGGGATGTTCCCCAAGTGTCAGCACTGATGGAGCCTGATTCCTTCAAGGCTTGTGTCCTTTCAGCTTTGTCAGGATCTGGTGTGCTCTGACTGTGGAGGATTTCCTGTAAGGTCCCTGCTTTGTATTTTGGGCCCAGATCTTCTCCCCAGCATAACCTTGCCCTTCAAGGAATGCTCCCAGCCCTTTTTCCTCTGTACTCACACAGGACCAAAGCAGAAGAATCTTAGAGCCTGTTGTTTTGGTAGCCCGAACTCTGCTTTTCTTTAATAAGGAATTTTGTCTACTGGCTACTAGGGAAGTTGAAGGGGATGACTGGAAAGCACAACTCTGTGAAAATGCTTGGTTTTGGAAGCAGGCTGAGGTCACACTTCTCTTTTGAGGAGAGTCAGTAAAGTGTAGTGTCACCTGAGCAGCCAGATTTGCTTCCAGGGGGACTTTCCACCAGTGCCTGGTGCAGAAGTGTCCATTTTAATCCATGCCTGCCACCAAAGCAACATGTTCCCCAGGAAGGCAGCAGGCAGAGGACGTGCATTGTCCTAACCTGGGGACACGTGTGCCAGCATCCAGGTGGAG